GGGGAGAAAATTGCCCGTTTGATTGAATACGCGAAGTTGGGATCATAAAAGTTAGTTGGGAAATTATGAATTTGGATTTTACCGATAGTGCAACTTATGTACTTTATACCGATAGTGCAACTTATGTACTTTGACAGTGTATAACTCACAAACTGTAAGTCAGAATAAACTCGTATTTTGCAGTTAGAACTCCCTTACTATATACTACAACTTTCATAAAAGGTCGAAAAGCCAGTTATGACTCTAAGTGGTTCGAAACAATGTGTGTTCCGGGGCTGTTTCCACCGTATTCAGGATTAATATGTTGTTTTGTAAAATTCGTATAAAATATATGGATAATCAAAATGATGTGGGTGGATTCATATATCAAAGGTAATATTGATTCTTATTAATTTAATATATAAATGTGATCAACGACTCATTTAGCTAACTTCAATAATTTTAAAAAAAATTATCGTCATCGCGCAACGCGCGATATCAAACACTAGTTTCACTATAAATACCAACCTTCTACTTTATAATTTTTCACACATCCTCTTTCATTTCTCTTCTCATATATTATACTCTCACAACCCTTAACCCTTCAACACAATAAACCATCACAACCCTTAACCCTTCAACACAATAAACCATCACAACCTTTAACCCATTAAACACAATCAACCATCACAAAACATGAAATCACGTCAACGTGATGATGTTTGTGTGTATCTTTGAAGTGACGGTTTATTCCAAGAGATAAATGGTGTGTTAGAGTACCTTCCGATAAGCTCCCCCATATGTGCAATACGTTTGTCTTCGTCAATAACGTATTATGGGGTCGTCAAACGTGTGACGAAAAAGTTAGGTTTACGTGGTCCTTTTAATTTATATTTTAAAACGAATACGTTATATCAGTTCATGGACGACGATGACGTGGTAATCTTCCACAACGCCATTCGTCAAACTTTACCAGAAATGTTGACACTATTTGTGGTCGACAATGGAGGTTATAGAGAAAATCCATCAAGTGCAATCCCGGGCTGTCCAAACACTTTTTACTCCCGTGCTGTGAGCACACTCATCCCCGACGTTAGCGGTGCAAACCCATATGGTCCAAATCGAGAATAAATTGCGGTAACATTTATATATATAGAGATGCATTACGTAAAAAAAAGATATATAAATAGGTACGAAAATTGAAACTTAACATCTATACGTATATATGTGTAGGTATTTAAACGTACACATATTTACATATATTTACGTACGTATGTATGTACGTATTTTTATACGTATATATACATGTATTTTCAAACAACACACATATATTTACGTATAACATAAAGTAAATGCAACTTTACATATATACGTATATATGTGTACGTATTTAAACCCGTACGCATATTTACGTACGTATTTTTGTACGTATATATGTGTACGTATTTGAGTACGTACGCATATTTACGTATCTTTACGTATGTATGTACGTATATTTAGGTACATATGTATATACGTATATATATACCTGCATACATTTATGTATAAAATCGAGAATAAATTGCGGTAACATTTATATATAAAGAGATGCATTACGTAAAAAAAAATACATATAAATAGGTACAAGAATTGAAACTTAACATGTATACGTATATATGTGTACGTATTTAAATACATACATATATTTACGTACGTACGTATGTACGTACGTATATATATAGAGATAGATAGATAGATAGATAAATACATACATACATACATACTTACATACATATATATATATATATATATATAGATACATACAAAACCAACTAGTCTAGATACATACATATATACATATATAGATAGATAGAGTATTTACCAATGTTTTCATAGTGGCGGCGGACGGTGGTGGATGGCAGTGGGCAGTGGGCAGTGGCGGCTGTTCATGGTGGTTGGTGGCGGCGGACTGTGGTTGGTGGCACCGGAAGGTGGTGGATGGCGGCAGAGCACGGTGGTTGGTGGCGGCGGTTCACGGTGGCCGGTGGCGGCAGAAGGTGGTCGATGTCGTTAAACGGTGGTGGATGACGGTATATCGAAGAATGGTGGTCGTTTTTGGTCCGAATGGTCCAAACTCGGTTTTTCTAGAGAAAACGAGTGGTGGTGGGGATGGATGGTGAACTTATGGTCCCCCACCTCCTATTTATATAAAACGTTAAGTAATAAAACAAAATTCATCGTCAAATCGGCGTCAAATCGACGTCATAGAGGCATCATAGCATGAAAAAACGCAAAACACGTTCAAGCTATGTAAATCAGATATAATATCTGATTTTTCCTCAAAAAATCAGCTAAAAATAATTTTTTTCGTAACCACAATTATCATTGTCTTATTTTATAACAAAAAAACCATGAAATTTTTACTTAAATAGGTTAAAAAACACAGTTTATGTATTGTTTCATTTTTATTAAAAACACCCCTTAATTGTCAAATCAAGAACACTAAAAGACGAAATAGCGGTCAAATTTCGTAAATCAGATATAATATCTGATTTACGAACACCAAATCAGATAAAAATCATTTTTGCGTCTCCATAATTATCATAGTTTATATTTAAAACCTTTAACCATGATATTTGGTTCTAAAAAAGTTAAAAAAATACAATTTAAATGGCGTATCAGTTTTATTAAAAATACCGCAAAAAAAAAAAAAAAAACAACCCCTTAAAGGCTGGATCTCCCCCAAGGGGTTAGCTTGCTGACGTGGCTCGCCCTTGGGGGGCGATCAATCCACGTGGCTCGCCTAGGGGGGGTCGGGAACGGATAACGAGGATGCATAGTAATATCTTATAGTCGAGAATTGAATAGTATAACATATGAAGATCTTTTCATTATGGTCTTACAGAACGACAATTACTTAAATACTGACCAATTGGGTAGATCAAGAAAACAGCAGTCGCAGCTGCAACAGGAGCTGATTTTCATCTCATACCACTCCTCCCTTATGTGCATAAGGTTAAGTAATATTTCTGCAACTGTGATCTATGTCCCATCTTATCCGGACCTTTCTCATTATCATAGTGGATCTTAAAAAAAAAAAGAGTTTGTAAGGAAGCTTTTATGATGGTATGCCTCTAGGAATTTCTGTGATTAGTAAGATCGGTGAATTAGGTGAAGGTACGAAACGACTTATTAGTCGGTTTATTGATCACTATACAAAACGTCGAGAAATAATCCCCGGAGCCGCTGATTCAATTGCCATTACTTGCGAATAAAAATTATTGTTGTGCCCCGAAAATGGAGTATAAATTTTTATTCAACCTATCTTATAGTGGGACCCACCAAATTTTTTTTTCTTTAGAAACAAGTACGGATCGCCCCTTTAATGTACGGATTGCCCTCCGGGGGTGATCCGTGTGCGTATTTTTGCAAAACCTCTAAAATATGGTTATTTTGTTAAAATAGGTTGTATAAATTGGTTAAAATGGTAATTTTTTGCACATTAAAATTAACCGTCATTTAATTGGGTAACGTAACCTATTAATTTGTAGACCGGCCCGCACCAAGGTTACAAGATCCAAAAGCAAAGCCCAGTATTGAAAGTAATAGGCACACTGCGGTTGTACTGTGCGAACAAGAGAGAGAAAGGACGGAGAGAGAAGGACGGCGAGAAGGTAATCTGATCCTCTGCCGTTGTTTCTTCAACGGAGGTTAGTATTCTCTCCGGTGATAATCGCCTACCATTATTACTTTTTAAATACTTATATATCTCTCTGTATGCATGATTTCTCCCCACTCTATTGATATGAAAAACTAGGGTTTGTTCGTATTTGTTCCAAGAAACTTGGGGTATTGTTCTTTCATTCTCAGTACAATCACTGTTTTTATTTTTAACTTACCGGAAGAAGCTTGTTGTAATTTTGTTGATCTTGATATGGTTGCTGATATACATTGCTTATTAATGCGTCGAGCTGCAGTTTTATATATTCCCGTTACACTTGAATTGATGTTATGTGTTCACTTACCAGCTTCGGTTTATGTAGCTGCAGAGTTATATTCTTGATGGACAATGTAACGAGTATCTGTTGATTGTTCAGTTTGAAGGAGTTGATTAATACCGATAGCTGAGACGATAGGACTTGAGAAGTGCTTTCTTGGAAGGACTAGGAAACGGGAAAGGGGTTGATGGATAGTACCGATGATCTGACTTTTAGGATTATATTTTCTGGAGATGGGGCTGGAAGGCTGCGTGACCGTGTGAAGGAAAAGCTCAAGGAATTTATGGGGGATTATACAGATGACACTCTCGTGGTATGGTATTATTGTCTGTTTCGTATATGAATAGCCTTCTGGTGATAATAATTAGAAATTGGTAGAATTGATTGTAAATAAATCATGGAGAAGATGCTGCCAACTTTGTACAATAAGCCTGTCTCCAAGTTGTATGCTCTCATACATTTTGGAACCCCTGACTTTCCTCTTTTTCCCTTCTTTTCTGTTTCTTTGAGGAGCATATGTGTTTTAATAATGGATGTTCAACAGAAGGGTTCTGGTTTTTTTGTTTTATCTACATTTATTTGTTGTTTCAACTAATATGCTATTGGGAAAAGGCTATGAGGTGTGAACAAAAAGAACATCTTGGAGGTTGGATGCTTGTGGTGGAGATATTGGTAATAGAGTAACCATATGTCATCTGCCTCGCTTGGACTTGTGAAAGTTCATTTTCGATATTACAAATGTTGTAGTACCAAGGCGAATTGGACATGGAAGAGCTTGGTAATATGATCTACTTGTTTATAATGGTGTACAAGTTACAACAATGCCAATTCAATTGGTGACATTGAGAAGAATGAAGTACACCGACAATCAAAAGAAACCAGTCCACAAATCCAATCAAAATAAACCATTTCATAAACCCAATTAAAACTATTCATTCCATAAAAAAATTAATTCCACAAGAGACGTACTATACTATAGGTATTGTATATATAGTAAATCCATGACTGCCACCAGTTTCCACCTACGTTACCATGTTTTCCTATTTTGAGGAGAGATGGTGTAATTACTAGGAGAGAGAATGTGTTATTATATCACATTGTTTTCTACATGCAAGGATTATGGTGAGTTTGGTGGTAGTATTGGTTGTAGATGTACATTTACCCTTGAGTATATTGTGCCACATATCACCATTAATAGCCCCAAGTTGAAGATGGTATTCTTACTTTTAGTCAAGTACAAGAAGATTATTGCTATTCTTGCTCAAAATCCTTATCCCCTAGGCATTGCAATTAAAGATTATGGTCTGTATGGAAATAAACTTTTAATATGCAGGCGTTGCTTTGACGCCAACTAGAACTTGCATTTGAAATTATTAGTGAGTTTGAACCACATTGTCAGTAAGGACTTCTCTTGCTTTTAACTACCTTTAATTTTTATCAATCTTAAGATAACATGTATGATGCTATCATGATGCTGAGATCATAACATTGCTGTTAAGTTGATGCAGTCTGTGCAGCAAACCTTTGAAAAAAAATTGTTGTTCCTAACATAAATTGTCAAGCATTTGAGTCTTAGGGGGGGGGGGGCTAGTCTCTTCTCTCTATTGAAAAAGTAAATATAAAATACAACATCGAGCATGGGAAGTTTTTCTACATATCTATTTCCTGTTTATTGTAATTTAGAACATACTTGACATGCCCTAAACTTTGTTACACGACTTACATCACACAATTGAAGTCATAATTTCGTCATGTCATATTGTGTGACTTTGAATAATATGATTTTATTATGTTTGGACACAGTTTTATTTTCAAACTGTGCTGGATTGTGCTGGAGAAGTGCACTAAATATTAGCACAATCCAGCAGCTACTTCAAGTGTCCATAGTTGATAAGAGGACATGTGCTATTAGATAATTCATTCTTATACCTAAATAATTGTATAAGGGAGTCCTTAAACCAAGCACAAAGGGTTTATATATCTTTTTGAATGTGATTTTCTTTTTGTAATTTAACAATCAAAGTTAGATTTGTCAGAAAGTTTCTCGGTCACTTTTGGTTGTCGCCTTCTGTGTCTTACCCTCATATCTGCATTGAATAGATCAAATAAAACCGTTGGTTCTAAATGTCTTTAAGCTCAACAACATCAAACCTTTAAAACTATACGTTTTATAGTGCGTATTTAATATTGTACGAACTTGAAATCTAATTTGGAGAGGGAAAGGAAGGATAATTTTGCACAATTAGCTTGATGATATGCAGCATGCTATATATTCATCACAATGTTCATATGCTTTAACATGATTCTCCATCTGGAGCTGAGCATTGTGGCGATAGGTGGGGAAGCCATTTGAGATCTTGGTAGGGGAACCATTGTTGTGGTCGGGTATGGGACCTGCAAATGTTGGTAATGGCTGCTGTTTTGGTTCAGACTGGAATCTATGGATAGTTGGTGGGTGTGAGCTTCCTTTGATTAGGCTTGAAAGTGGCTGATGTGCATCGGTACCAAGTGTCAATGCACTTCTAGGGTTATTATGTTCAAGGCAATCTATTGATTTGACTCGAAACTTGACCTATTAGGTTTTGGCAAAGATAAATTATAGACGATCCAGTTTCACTAATTTGAATAATTTTGTTAAGCACTTTGGGAAGCTTAACTTGCAAGTTAATTTGGAAGTGTAGCGACAGTATGATGACTATTATCCATAAAGAGGTAGGATGAGAAATTGTGAACGAAAACTATGTCATCAGAAATGTAGGTTGGTTGGTGAAATGGGAATGGTATAATATTTTGTCTGTACAATGCTTAAGGCTCTCGGCTGGGTAGCAGGAGCAACTTTTAATTTATTATGAGCCGACTGAACGATTCTTTAAAATTGCTGTTAACGGGAGAAGATTACGTACTTGACAATATATGCTAACAAATGATATACTTAGAGCATATTTTTTAATTATATATTCAGCAAAACTCACAGACACTTCTCATCTTCGTGAGGCTTGAACCCTTGACCTCCAAGGAGGTTGGGATCTACCGGGAGTCCGAGTGCCTTTGGGACATTTACTCCTTGGCTACTTAAAGCATATTTTATAATTACATTATTTCCACATATTGGATTTCATTTACATTTTTTTTGACAATCAACAAAGTGATACATTGATATCTCCATTCTCCAAAGAAACTTGAACTCGCAACCTAAGGGTTGTAGAGATTCACTGGTATCGTTGTGCCAAAGACCACTTGGTGCATTTGCATTTAACATAAACATGTTCCTTGAGAGTTAACAAAAGAATATTCATATCAAGTTCATGCTTTTCCTTGACTACTGTGTGGAAATTGCAGAGAACATGAGGGCCTGGCATTTCTTTTTTGCGGCCATTAAAAACACAAAAATCTTCATTTATGTGGAAACAAAACAATTATAATCACATTCACAAGTGTGTATGCTATCCTATGATGGCGAGCATCTCCACTTCATGCATCAGTTCTAACTATTAGTTCATGAAATTCATCAATGAGATCGTCTTCCGGAGGGCTGATTGTCATGTTTCTAAATTCTCTTTTTTTAAAGTTGGTTAATGAATCTGAAGTGTTACTTTTTTTTTTTTGATTAACCTGGATATCCAACCTGCTATGCGAGCCGACTAATCCCAAGGCGACCACCTGCATTGCAGATAGCCCGGAATCTGAAGTGTTACTTATTGCTAGTTATTACACATTTTTTGGATAATGATTTCTAGTTGTTACTTGTATGCCGTGTTCTTGGCTACAATTTGGCATGAGTGCTTTCCTTGCCATAAGGGCTATCCTTAGTTATATAAAGTTCATAAACAAGCTTCTGCTATTGAGACTATTCTAATTTAGGCTTCTAATTGATATGATTTCACTTCTATAATTTCAATAACTTCAATTTTTTTACGTGATACTTGTATATGTGAATATAATTACTATACCTACTGGACGTTCTCTTTTTGCATAGCAGCAGATTTTACTCATCCTCTTCTGTTCTCAGCGTAGGTGATTCTTGAACTTCCTACTTTGGAACTTTATGGAAATCCAAGTCGATTACATATGTGGTGCCGTAGTTCATTTTGTGTGTCTAATTTTTGCTTACTTGATCTTTTGGTTACCTTATGTGCATTTTTTTTTTCTAAAAAAATTCTATAGGCTACAATGGTAATGGTTTTGGTTGTTTCCAAACTAGCGAGATATTGAGGCATTCACCTAAAATCTATTCTATCTTTCTGGCCATGATTCATTTTTTTCCTTTTAGTTTGCTTACATAAGTTGGACGTGGATGCATCTCTGTATCATATGATGCATTAAAAATTTCGACCTGTTTAGAGAACTTATCACCATTCTGAATTATTGATTTACTGACACATGTAGTTTGCTTCTGTAGGAGTATGTGATTGTCCTGCTTAAAAACGGCCGGCGCAAAGAAGAAGCAAGGAATGAGTTGAATGTCTTTTTGGGTGATGATAGTGATTCTTTTGTATCTTGGTAATATATTTGTACTGGATTCTGTTATACGAAAAGCTGTTGTGTGCTTAGGTTTTTTGATATCGCCTGTATGTCTTTCTCTGTGCAGGCTGTGGGATCATTTGCGATCAAATCTACACCTATATGCACAATCAAGAGAATCTCGTCCTGATGAAGTGGCCAAACAGAAACCACATTCTGAGAAGGAGGATGGAAGGTCTGATCTTCCCCACTTGGATTCTGAACCAGAGGGGGTAAAGTCTGAGAAGTTACCCAAGAGTCGACGAAACAAAGATTGGAGAGGGGTTATAAGAGATCCAGATGAACCACCGCCACTTCGCAGCGCAGTGATTGCCAACATCCATGCTGAGGATAAAAGCCATCAAAGTGGCAGCCATATGAAACGATCACCTTCTCCTCAACCACTAATTCAAAGAAAAAGAGGTCGGAGTGGCGAACGAGGCCGGACCGATGAAAGAGGTCAGTCTGATGAACGAGCACCAGTGAAGGTCTGAACTCTTTTTTTCCCTCTGTATGCAAGTACATAAGCAGAGTTCCAACTTTCATGATGTGAAAGCATCATGTTATATCTGTTTTAGGTTTCTTCGATAATTCTCTTTTACTGGTTGGGTAAGCAGCAATGCCTAAAAGGGTTGCTACAGCAGCTGCCATGGCACGCCGTGGCTCAAGGCTTGTGTCTAACGCACGTTAAGCCTGTGGCGTGCCATGGCCCAATCCTTGGTTTTTGTGACGCTATACTTGATTTTTCGTTACCTTTTAGTGTCTTAACTTTTTAGTTTATAGTATATAGCCTACTTTAAATTGTTTAATATCATTGACTCATTACATAATAGTAGAAAACATAAGTGTATAATTATATATGATATACGGATCTGTCGCCATAAGTCACACCTTGAAAGACGTCATGGCGTGTAAGGCTTGACCTCGCCATCATGCCACATCTCACAGCATTTAGAACCTTGGCAAGAAATGATGAATGGACACTTCAGTCAGTTCGGAGCATTCAAAAGTTCTGTAGATTGAAAATTGACCAATTTACTTTAGACCTCCATCAAGGTTTCAAAGGGCGAATCGGGCCTTGAGGCGTTTTCCCTCTACGAGGCGAGGCGTAAGCCTCGAGGGCTGAGGCGGTTCGAGGCGTAATTCCCGAGGCAGAAATATTTATACACCAAAATATGTATATATACTACACAACTATATACACATTTATATACAATATATACATATATATAATGCTCAATTACTAAGGTTGCTGGTTCAGTGGCTCTTGACAGAGGAAATAGTGAAACTGTGAGATAGGCTGAGAAGGGTATAGAAAAATGATTGCTTGGAGGAAGGGGAAGGGTCAAACCACACTTTTTGATTGAGAGGAGAAAGTACTAGCTTTTGGGGTTTTAAAATATTAAAAAGTACACATGGGGGCCATTGGGCTTTGATTTTTAGTTTTTTTAAAATAAAAAAGACACTTATACTATAAAGAGTAGTACTACTACTGCCATTAAGCTTAAAAAAGCCAAAAAAACATCACCAAAGCAGATCATTTGAGGTGTACGCGTCAACAACGCCTCGCTGAACCGCCTCAGTGAACCAAGGCATAAGCCTCGTCCAGGGTCCAAGAGGCGCTGCCTCAGGTGCGATTTTGGGCCGCCTCGCCTGGAGGCGTACACCTCAAATGATTTTCACAACCATGACCTCCATAAACGAAGTATCTACTAGTCCAGGTTTCAGCGTAAATCAATATTGCTGAACGCAAACTGGAGATAGTTTAAAGAAGGCAGTTGATTCCATTGAGCTTTAGCTAAAGCTGTTCAAATTACTGTATGGTTCTTGGTTTTAATGAGACATCCATTTTGCAAGAGAAATATTATATTGGATCACCGTAACATTTTGACTGCAATCTTTATGGCATCAGTTCAGGCCAACACTACCACTAGAGCTAACCATAAGTTAGATTTATTAAAAGAAAGCAGAGGAGACTTCCATCCGCATGTGAGGATGGGAACCCGTATTTTTATAATCTTGTCAGGCTATAAGATGCACCCTCTTGTTTTTCGAAGAATAATATAAAATAGACGATGAATTTTGTCCTTCTATACTCTGTCTATCTTGAGGTGCAAGCATTTTGAAACACTGTGGAGGTAAATAATTGTTCTTAACAAATATTTCTTGAATTAAACTTCGTCTTGAATGCGTTTCTTATTTGGGGAGTTACTTTATTGTATAGAGTATAGACTGAGGTTGTCACTTGCTGGCCCAGCGATCATTCTGCTTACCAATTTTTGTTTTTCACAAGATTTGATTGTTGTTGGAGCTTTAGCATACATAGACATGACACTGGAATAATAACATTTTTGTGGCCTAGTGTTTGGTTCGTAAACACATGCATGACATGGAAAATACTTGGTTTTGTTTATGGGTATCTTCTCTCGTGATGCTATTATTGTTGATAAAGATACTTGACATATAAAGAAATGTCAACATTTTAGTGCTTTGTGGTTTACTCTATTCTTCTATTTTCTCTTTTATTCTTGTCAAATTATAACTCAGCAATTCTTGTTCAGTTCCCTACAATTTATTTGTTCTGGAAATATTAACATGCATAGACAAGAAGAATGAAATAAGCTATGTTGCTTGCATTGTATTTAAGTTACACACATGTGGTTTTTTGTTGTTGTGGTGATGAGTTATTGTGATGATTTGATTGTTGATAAAGATGCTGGAGGGGTTATGAAATGCCAATATTTGAATGTTTTGTGGTCCAACTATCAATCTTATCTGTCTTTTAGCTTGCTCTTATCAAATTATATCTCAACTCATGTTCGCTTGTTTACTTTCAGCGAGAAGCAGCTCCTAAATCAACTTTAGGTGCCTCGCGAAGGCTGCTGCAATTTGCAGTGCGAGACGCAGTTGCCACTTCCAGGCCCACTGGTTTAACTTCAGAGCCATCATTGAAGCGTTTGCGTTCTGTAGTTTCTACACCTACCGAGGACTCCCCACTTGAAGAGCGGCGTCCAAAAATTCGTTCAGTTGCCAGGGTACCTAATGCTATGGCGGTTGCCATTAAAGCTGTAGCAGATGCTGCTAAAGATGTTGTAAAAGTCAAACCCTCAGGAAATGTATTTGACCGGCTCGGCCGTTGTATGGATATATCAGATGGCACTGACCAGTTCACAGAAGATAGAGAAGTTGCTGATGAAGATGATGGAAATCACAAGGGTTTTACTCAAATTACAGAGGCTACTGTTCCAACATATCGTGAACAAAGTGACTATTCTGGGCAATATGTTGGGGATATTTTAGAACATGATGCAGGAATAAATTCTGTTGTTGCATATGATACAGATGGGTATAACAACAGGAATGCTCTGTATCGTAGGGTGAAAGTGGATCCTTCTCAGATTGGTACATCAGGTGGACAATTGGGTAATGATTCTTTGATGTTGCACTATGATGCAACAAGTATTGTGGATGGGACTGCTAATAAACCACACAGAGATCAGAACACCCCTGTTGCTCTGGCCAATTCTGCTCCTAAGATAGTAAATATTTCTTCGAATGTAAATACCTGGAAACCATCTCACCATCCGGAACAAAGGGGGGGTTCACACATGGACAGTCGGAAACTTGCACAGGACAATGAGTTGGGTGCAGGCAACTATGGTGTGCGAGTGATCAAGGATGATAGCAATCCTGTAACCGTTAGCAATGGAAATGTAAGACTATATTCAACTCAATCAATGCATACTTTGTGTAAGACTAACATTGTTTATTTTATTTTTCTCTACTCAGGGGGTACCTACTATACATGCTCAAAGGGAGATGCAGAAGACACTGTCATCAACTGGTAAGTGCTGTCTGGCTCTTGTTCGGTTTTACTGAATGCCAAATGTGTTAATTTCTTTTCTTTTCTGTTTATTGGATTTCTTTGCTTGATATTTTTTTTATATTGCTTCCTGTAATGTATATGCTTACTGATTGGGGAGTATATATAGGCAGAGCTCCATTGGTTTCAAGGGATTATGTTGCAATGTAGTAATTATTTAGTCTTGATCTGCAGGTGTATATCCCACTGGTCGACCTACTGAAGACGTGGATTCCCGCACCATTTTTGTTAGCAATGTAATGACTCATGCTTTTCATATAAAGTCATCTGTTCTATCCAATGTATTTTTCTTAATTCTAAAACTGTTCAACTTTACACAGGTTCATTTTGCTGCCACTACAGACAGCCTTTCTAGGCACTTCAACAAGTTTGGGGATGTGCTGAAAGTGGTTATAGTAACTGAAGCAGCAACTGGGCAACCAAAAGGGTCTGGGCTTGTTCTCTTTCTTCTCTTTTGGTTTAGAAAAGTAAATTACCTAGTAAAGAAGCCGAGACAGAAAAGTAATTGTAGGAAAATGCTGTGATCTAGTGACTTGCAAGCATAATGCTCAAAGTAACAATCAATATTGTTGCTTTTTCATGATATGGAATGGAAAATTGTGTTTACCTCAATGCATGGCATTTCCATACCTTTTTCTTGCTTTCCACTACAAGTTTCTGCTGTTTTTACTATATAGTGATAACTCCTTTCTTTTAAGTTTATGTAAACTAGTTTGGGACGAATGGTATTGCGAGGCTGTCTTCTTTTGAAAAAATAGAACCTTTTACTCTAAAGTTTTAACTGAGTCTCCTTATGCAGATCAGCTTACGTGGAGTTTATGAGAAAAGAGGCAGCAGAGAATGCATTATCTCTGGATGGTACATCCTTTATGTCGCGAATTCTTAAGGTACATAATGGCCTCTCTCTCTATATATTTGCTGTTCAATCACAGTACTGTTTTTGATCTTTCGTCTGTTACCAAACGAAACAAACCCAATATATCCCACCCGAAGGTAGGGTCTAGGAGGGGTGAGATGTATGCGGACCTGGTCTCCACCTTGGAGAGTAGAGCAGTCATTTCCGTGAAAACCCCCAGGTTGTGCATAGTGAGTAAAAAATGCGGAGAAAGAACATAAGAACATAAATATTCTTTTGCAGAGTAACTTCTTTAACCTTTGGAAGCTGGTACTTTGTACATTGTTTACAAAGCTGGCCACTTGAAAAGTTGAACAGATGTATGTAGTAGCAAGATGCTTATTTGTTCTGCTCATATTTTAAGCAATCTACTGATGGGTACAAGTGTATACACTTGTGCATGAAAAGGAAATGCAAAAGGTCCTCAAATAGTAATCATAGCCACTGGTTTGCATGTGTTAATGCGTTATGGCAATCCAAGTCACTTGAGTGCAACTAATATCTATTTATACTTATATGTCCCACATATGTAAACCAATGTAGGATGATATATAGCAGATCAAAGGATAAAAATGTTTGGAGGAGAAGAATAATACCAGTTGGGGTTGAATAATGGGTCAAAAGAGCAAAGCTCACATGTAACACAAAATAATAGTGAGATTATGGAGGGGGGCGCTCCAATATCTACAATAGCACGCACAAGATACTCTAAGGCCCCATTAGGTTTGTAGGATTCAATAGGATTTGGAATTCAAATCCCATGTTGGTTTGAAGGATTGTTTGGATTTGAAATCCCACAAACATGAGATTCAGAAATCCCATGGGTTTTGTTGGTATTTCGTGGGATTTCATGGGATTTCGTAGGATTTATGTGTAATAATGTTTTAAAATATGGGTTTTGTAATAATCAATTAATAAAAAGGTAATTTAATTGTTTATAATTTGTTTTTATAGATTATTTTTATAAAGAATGGAATTCAATTCCATTACAAATCCTACAAACCAAACACACCAAAGTTTCCAAATCCCTCCGATTCCAAATCCAAATCCCTCCGATTCTAAACCCTTCAACGAAATCCAAATCCCTCAAAACAATTCCATCAAACCAAACGCCGCCTAAATATAGGTCTAGTAGGAAACGGTTGGAATAAGTTCTAACCTTAACCCTAACCCTAACCCTAACCCTAATCATAACCCTCACATATCTTTGATTAGTCATCTAGTGTTGGTTGATTGCTCAAGTCCAATTATGAGGGGAGGGAATACCATTCTGGCTAGAATTTTGAAAACTGTCTTTTGTTAGAGAAATTCTTATTTTAGTATCATCAAATTTTATGCTTATTTTCATGTCAAATTGAGATGGTAAAGGGATTTTGCTTCCAAACGTTTATCTCCCAGGTTTCTCTGATCTGTATCTCTCTCTCTCTCTCTCTCCCCCTAATTTGTATTCTCCCATGGTTCTCTCTCGAGATTCTTTCTATCTGATTTTCCTACTAATCTGAAGACTGAAATCCTAGTTTCTCCCGTTGATGCTCATAGTAGCTTTGGAACCTTCATGTTCCGGATAGCAGGTGTAGGAGCAACCATTCTGCTCTCATCTTCCCTTCACTATCCTTCTACTTCTTCTCAAATTCAATTAAATCTCTATCTTTTGTTTTTACCATTTTCTGTTTTAATTGCTCATTATTATAGTTTTGCTTCATGGTTGGTTTTTAATCTCCTCGAGCTCATAGCAGCGAGATCTTTGTCTTATCAGATACTACTACCAACATAATTGGTTAAAGGATGTAAAAGTAACTGAATACTATGTTAATATCTCTAGCTATTTGTGCGACTTAATTAGTATCTTAGGTACCTGGTTATTTTCTGCTACTTATGCATACAGAAAACAATAAAGCATATTTCGTAGAATGTAGATCTTGAGTTTCATTTATTATCATTTTATCATTGTCGTCATGAACTTTAAACTTATGCTAGTTTTGAAGAAAGAAAGTACAAGTGATGGAAGAAAATAAAATAGTTTGAACTTTGTTCACTCTTGTTGAGATTAAAGAGAAAATTTTAATGCATATATTTTCTGTTGGAAAGAAAGTTAAAGGACTATAATCATCGATGTTATCTCTATTTTACATAAATCAAACCTTTATCTTTTCTCTTCTTCCTTTTTTATTTCCTTTTGTTCTCGTGCAACTGAAATTAACATTTACACCAGCCTAGTTAAAGTAGTCTAAAAAGTGTGAGAGCCGCTCTCATAACTTACTCGATTGAAGTGTACTTTTCTTTTTTTTGTTTGCGATGAAGAGAACCAGACAGAGATGGGGATTGAAAAAACCTTGATGTGCTTGGGAATTTTTGTTCTTCCATGCCCTATTATCTAATATTGAGTCTGGGCATACATTCACTTTTACATCTTCATGTGCTTAATCTTGATCCATGATACCTTCTTTTCTTAAGTGAGGGAAAGACAAGGTCATTAAGGGTAATTCTAATTTAATGTGCAAACTATTAGATTAATGTTTAAATAAGATTCATATCTAACTATTTCACCAGAAATAATAGAAATTTCAGGATTTAGTTTTTAATTTAGTCATCTTTGGAGATTCATTCTTGTTGGGAAAATAGTTAGTTCTTTGTTATCAATTGTTTACCTGGTAGTGGTTGATTATGGTTATGTTCCCATATGCTACAAACTCTTGGTGTTCTAGTATATTTTGTTCTGCTATATACGTAATTGCACTCCTTATTGTAATAATTCTTTATGGTTGTTTGTGTGTGAGGTTGGCTCTTGTGGACTTGTGGTTGAACTTGCTTTGGCTTTGTCTCCCCCTGAATGTGGCCGTTCTGAGTACTAAAATGCAGTACTTCAATTGTTTTGTGATCTTTGTATAAATCATCTGATTGTTTTGTGAAATATTTAAATTTTTTTCCGTAGTTGAGTTAGTTTGTATCGCTTTGTCATATGCCTTGGCCTTGTCAACATTATTCAATTTGTTTGTATGTCCCTTTGTCTTTTTATGAGTCATCTAATGAGGAAAATCACCCATGTTCTTGATCTTATAGGCATAAAATGAAATCCTGGCATTCTCAATCCTTAACTATGCTAGATAACCTACTTCCATAGTTTCATCGTATTGTTTACAACACTAACTTGGTCTTCAAGCTTAATGCCTCATTTGGCTACACTTTGTTTTCTGTTTTTCCGTTTTGCTTTAAAAACTTAGAACTGGACAGAAGACTGTGTTTGACAAGCGTGTACATTTTCAGTAAAACAATACTAGTTCACAAAGTTTTGTATCCGGCAGCTATAAATTGTAAACTTGATTTTGATGTTTTCATGGTTAACAAAAAAACACATTGACTAATTTTAATGTGATTCAGTGATTGTGTTTTCAAAGCCGTGAAAATGTATGATCTAATTTAATTTTTCATCTTTTTGAGAACCGGAACAGTTTTGTCAAAACTTATTTTAATTCTGTTGTCAAAACAGAAACCGCAACTTTGTTTACGCTAGAAAAAATGTAAAAAACAAAAAAGAAGGCAAGTGTTAGCAAACGAGGCCTTGGCTTGCACATGGATATGAGGCGTGTATATTGTTGAAGTACACCATTATGCTAAATATGTATTCCAGGGTTGTCGTCTTTTGCGTATCATATAAAATGTAATCCTTGGTAGGGTGATACTTATACATACTCAGGATAGTTTGAAAAATCCCTTGTAAGACAGCCATAGGTTAGGACATTAACGTTCCTTTTGTTGGCCAAGAATCTTACCCAATAACTTGAGGGTGGTGGCTCTTGCCGCTAAACGCTTACCTGGCCCTTAGTTTATCTCAAATTTGTACTGAAATTGGTTTGCATTACTGCTTTCATTTGGGTTTGAACCACATCTATTTCTTATCCTTTTAGTTTGATGGTAAAACACTTGGATTAACTTGCAACATGTATTTAAATCAATAATCAATCTTTTCAACAGAACATTTAATTCAATTTTTGGGTGTATGCAGGTTGTAAGGAAAAGCTCTGCTCATCAAGAAGCTGCAGCAGTGGTGACAACAACATGGCCACGTGTCACCCGTGGTTCTCCATTTGGTGCGTCTAGATTCGGTAGGGTTCCTTTCCCAAGAGGAGGAGGTGTATACAGGTCTAGGCTCCCAATTAAGACTGGTGCTAGGAGCTTGCAGTGGAAACGTGACTCTCAAAACTCATCATCATCCGACAGCATCCCTAGTCCTGCTCCAACCACCACACGCAGTTTGACTTATGTTCGAACAGAGGCCAAGACAGAAGGAAATTCCAACAATGCCTAAAAAATGAGATGTTTTTCTAGCTGAGCAGAAGGAAGGGTTAGTGAATGAGTTGGTTTAGGGTTTTTTTTGTGGTATTCTTTTTTGGGTTGGGATGGGTGTGGTGGGGGTCCAATTGGGTTTTTTAACAAAAGAGGGATTTGGTTGGGTGCTGCTGCTACTATATATATCAAAGAGTATTTTGATTTGAGTAGTTTTGATGTAATAAGATAATGCTGCCTGCTGGGCCAAATCAGTACCTGAACAGATGCATCTCCACGCTCCCTGACCTGCTTGCTATTCGGAGAAAACGAAAAACGGCAACGGAAATATTAAAAAAAAAAAAGGAAAAAAGAAATGAAAAAGGCAAATGTTTATGTTGTTTCTGCATCTCTCTTCTTTTGGTTAATTTGTTCCTTTTTTGAGTTTTAGGAAACAGTTTCTGTTATGGCGATCGAGTATTAGATTTATACTCTCATGTGCAAGTCACATGAGGCGCTTTAACGGGAGAAAATCAAACGGTATTTGAATGAGGGACCAAAACCAACCATTTTTGCATGCCACAAGGGTTTGTTTGCAATCTTTTTGTCGGGATCGCGTCCAAGAAAAACAACCACCACATTTGCAATTTACTCACAAAAACAAAAACAACGTTTATGATATCTGTTATATTAAAAGAATTTGACATAATTTATCTCGGTTGTGTGTTCTGCTTCTACCGAATGGCCTTGGCCTATCCGATAGCTCTTGCTCAAAGGTGAAGAGTGGTTGTGAGTTTCATTTGTCATATATAAACATTATATACTTGAAAGAAACCAATTTTCAGAGTCCCTCGGGACCATTGAAGGGTTTATTTGACTCTTTAACTTTAGGACCCAATCTGATTAACAAAGCTGTGGGAACGGACAAACACGGTTACCAGCATTTCAAGAGAAAAATGAACAAAAACATGATATATATATATATATATATATATTTGTATTCTAACAAGGAGAGTAATACAACGGATTTGAGCACCCAAAGCAAATAACTACAGTGATGCATGACCTTCATGGAAACCACAGACTCCATGGAAACCGTCCCTCTAGACTCTATGGAAACCGTCCCTCTTGCATACAGCTTAACCCCAGACTCCACCTTTGAGTGAGATATATTGAGCTAGTCTTGTCAACTTGTAGTGATGCCTGGTCTTCTAGGTTGCTGCGATCCTAATTTACAATTTTGACAGCTGTTTCATGTCATCTATAACCAAGAGCTGTGCAGAATTCATCATCATATGCTATGTTTAGCAGGCATTTTCAAAACTTCCATCACTCAATTGAGTTAATACTTGGCATTTTGCTTCTAAAACTTGTTTGGTTAGCATCAAGATTTTGAAAGTTCATTATTTATTCGATTCCTTCACATATGTTACGATAAACTTAGGGGTTGTTTACCAAATGATAACCGGGTAAGCACTTACAAGGTCACTTACCTTATGAGGTGAGCAAGAATCGTGGTAGGAGGCATGACAAGAACCAACAATCTTAACTGGTAAATGAGGGTGGTGACTCTTACCTAGTTAACGCTTACCGGATAAGATTATTGCCTACTACGCCATTTTGATGGCTGAGAATCTTATCCGGTAAGCATAGTGAGAACGGTGACTCTTACCTGCTAATTGCTTAGTAAATGGCTCTTTAATCCTTGTTCTTGAACTACAACACAGGCAGGCTATCGATATTCAGAAAAAAGCCAAACTTCTGATTCTGAGTAAGCATATTTCATATATGCAACATGCTTTAACAGTTATGAAAGCAAGCATATAGAAAGCAACAAATGCCTTAATCCCATAAGCAACAAAAAGGATTCAACAAAATGCCCATATCATTATCATCGTCTGAAGAACATAAAACAAAATCTGTTATCAAATTTATTGCAGGAAAACAAGCATCGTCTGAAGAACATAAAACAAAATCTGTTATCAAATTTATTGCAGGAAAACAAGCAATCATGCTCCTAAAAGTATGGCATTTGAACTCATTATAGTACTAACAATAGTACAGTTGAAAACAGAGTCTTGATAGCATCTATGGCATTCTATGAAACCATCAATACAGAGCAATAACAAGCAATCCAAGAGAAGCAACCCCGATACACAAGTATGAAACCACATTCAACCTCGCAAAGAACACATTCAGATTCTTAGCAACCTGAAGTGTAAGAGTCAGAATCTGCAGCCTACCTTGCTCCTCCATTTTCCTGAAGAAACTCATTGGCTTCAATGACCTTCTCAGCATAAATGACAACGAAAATGGCAGCCCAAATGCCAAACAGCTCTGCACAGATACTTCTGGGATGGGAGTAGACTTGGTAACATACGAAATCCAAGCCCCTAGACCCAACTGAAACAAACCCAAAAGAGCTAAGCTTTTACTAAGGTTATAAATTGTCTTCATCATTACATCAAGCACTTGGCGTGTCTCATTGGCAAGTGCAGAAACATCACGTTCAACAGTTGGTCCAGTTATCTCTTGGTTCTTGAATTCTTCGTGGGTTTGGCTTGGATTCTCATTAGGTTTTTGGGTTTCTTCAGGATCAGATGGTGGCGTGGCGGTTGACAAAAACCTGGGGGTTTGATAAAGATTAGGGCTTAAAGATTGGATTTTGAAACTAGAATTACAACTGGTGTTTGATCTGATTGAGTTGTAATTAGGGGTAAATGGTGCTGTATGAAATGATGATCGGTGGTGATTGAAAGAAGTGAAATTGGGGGTAGTGTTTGAGAAGAAGGATCGATGGGAATCCTTAGGGTTTAGATGATGAGAAGTGGGGTAGAGTGAAAAAAGAGCAGAGGAAGAAGGGTTGAAGATCTTGGATGCAAATCTGCGAGAAATTGTGGAAGCCATTGTTTGCATGATTCTACTCACCAGTGCTTCACCAAGCAACTTTGTCCATGGCCGGTAGAGAAATTTGCTTCCACTTCTTCCGGTTCGCTAATTCTTTTGCAACAACAAATAGGGTTCAAACAACGGAAATCGACCGGTTCTGTTTTACGATTGCTGAATGGTTTGGTGTGAAATAATTAATTGATCAGAATGATTAAGAGGTTCTCATGATATAGTGCAAAATGAAATATAATTATTTGGTAACTGTGTACGATGAAACTAGGGCTCTTGATGGTAAAGGGAGATCCATGATACAAAATCATTCAGAGTGTTTTAGAACCATTAAGAGACAAACTTTTTTTTGCCAAACAAGATTCATTTCTTAACGATTCAGAAATTGTCTTTTAATGAAATTATTAAGAGGTAAACAAACAACCCCGAAGTTATCTAAGAGACAAAAAAAGAAAAATACAATTTCTAAAATATTACAGACCTTATGGATCTAAGCAAAAATTACTGTGTGTCACTCTACGAACCTGGGTAGAAATTGTAATTTTTTTTGTCTTTTAGCTACCTCCGTAGGTTACAAAAGTACCATTTGTAGATGAATCCACCACAATCATCGCTTCCCCAATCTATCGCCACTACCATCGACACCGCTACCGCCTCCACCCCACTGTTAATACTATATTCAACGAACCAAACAAAACGTATTCCATTTTTTTGTGACAAATTCCATTATAATTTATGCCAACCAAACGAATGATTAAATTTCATCACAATTCTTTCATATTCTAATTCCAACATATTACATTATGTAAACCAAACACCACCTTAGAGACCCAAAATTTACATACAACCAGAGGGACGAAATTTGTAATTTACTCTTGATACTATGTTTTTTTTTTCCTTTTGAGACGTCTCTTAAGGGGCATTTGGTTCGTAGGATGCTGATGGAATCTCAAAGAATTGGAATGATCAATTCCGTTGACCAGTTTTCATTCAAGCATTTGGTTTACCTATCAATTGATTTGGTCATTCCATTACACATCCATTAACTTGGATATTTTATTACAATTGAGAAGGAGTTCAAGTCCATTCCATCCAATATTCTCAGAAAAATAAAATTATCTTTTCTACTTGATTTACCCAAACCCATATGATCTCCATATGAACCAGTGTCGATCACCACCAACCACCACTATTCTGAACTACGGTTCGATCACAACCGATCTGAACCACCGTCAACGACCATCGATCTGAACCACCACCGACTATCCCTAATCTGAAGCACCGTTGACTACTACCAATCTGAACCACCGTTGATAACCACCGATCTAAACCACTGTTCTGAACCACAGTCGACCATTAATATTATAAAAGGGGTATTTAGTCATTTGTCGTTTATTCATTCCATTTCGGTAGCTACGTTCTACCAACAAAAATCTTACATAATTAAATTATCCCGCAGTATCGTGAAAAATGCATGACAAGTTGCAAAATCTTAATCGCCCTTATTTCGCTCAATCTCCTTTCTCTCCCTTTCTTGATCATCCTAAAATACTTTAGCTTCTCCCATTCACCTCCTCTCATGTTTCCATCTCTCAAAGTCAAACAACTGGGTTTGGTCTCACGTCCCAATCTCGGTGTTCATTCTGTAAAAAAAAGAAATTGGGTTATTGTGGCTGTGAACATAGAGGTTCTTCATCGTCGATTCATCAATTTCAGGTAAAAATTACGTAAACGTTGTTGTTTATTGTGCAGGTTGGGGTTGAAATAATGACGAACCATCCTATGGCTATATGGCGGCGTTAATAGAAAATAATGGGTGGAGGCCGTGTTACAGATTACAGTGGTGCGAGTTTTGACCATTAACGTATATATGCCAAACACCAAGCTCAATCCATGTGTTAGAAGGGCTTAGGCCCATTTGATAAGGCTTATGGAGCTAGCCTTATAAGCCTCTCCAAATTTCCCTCTCCTTCCTATGTGGGATCAATTCCCATGGTAAAATCGCAACAGTATTGGTGCAGTATTTTTGTCTACTAAATTCTGAGCATTCTATGTGTAAATATTCTTCAAATCTTTTGAACTATATATGGTAAAAGACATTGATTGAGTTTGAAGAAGGATGGAATATTCATTATTCATTTTAGGACTAAGGGGGATCATTATCATTTACTTAGCGGGTAAGATTTTAGTTAACAAAAACGACATCGTATGAAACAATTTACCGGTAAGCGCTAACCGTGGTAAAAGTCGTCTCCCTACACTTGTCGGATAAGACTCTAGGTCCTTGTCTCGCTCTTATTGAGTCAGATTCTATATTTATCTCTGATAAGATAATGTGAGTTGATAAACGCTTATCCAGATAAACGTTTGGTAAACTACAACTAATTATAGGATTGATCCCATTGATGTGCATTATTCTATACAGTATTTTACAAACCGTACATTTACCAATGAACATGACCAACCTGGATAACCATTTTAGCAACTTTATGTTATAGAAAGCTAGAAAACTACACCAGGAGTTCTTGATTTACAAAAAGTTTGAATATGAAGGTTGTAAAAGTTTGTTAGAATTAAGAAAGTACAGAAAACCAACTTTGTTGAATTTCACACACCAAAAACTAGAAAAACTTATTTATCGTCTAAAAAGCAAACTCTGATATGACGGGTATCTGAGTCCGACAAATAATAATTTCCTATTACCTCAAATTACAATCTTAATTTGTCGTGAAAGATTATGGACTTCTACGCTTCAGTAAAAGTTGGGAGGTGTTGGATATTGAGATTTCTTAACTGAACATACAAAAATAATGCAAAATAAATAAGAATGAGACTAGCAATGAGCGTAAACAATTGATCCACCTGTCGATCATAGACTTGTTCACAAAAACAATCTTCACACTTCGTTCTAGAAAGACAATGAGCACCGATACACATCCACATTTGTTTGTTCGTAAGATTAAACCAACATGAGATGCTCAATGAACTAGTTCCTGATCAACTAATTAAGTCTAGTTACGAATATAGACTCGATTGGCAATTGCATTAGGCATAGAGAAACGCCATTCCTAGCTAAAGATTGCATGTCGACCATTTAGACTTACATTACACAAACCAACAACACTCAACAATTAATCTGGCTATCAATTGAACTGTTGTTTGCCACTTTGACGAAACAAGAAACAATTATGGATTTTGGGTTTGTCTAGCAATTCACAATTGGGTGACATAAATCAACGGACACTACCAATTCTAACAATCAAACAATAATAAAAGCAATTCAATTCAGGTTTGTATAAATAAGAATCAAGTTATATTAAAAGATCCCACAAGTCTCTACGCAATCCCAAGGTCTACAAACTCATTGCTTAAATGAGAAAACAAAAGTTAAACCTAAAATCTAAGTTACCTAATTAACCGAAGGAAAACGTGAAGAAAATTCTCACAGGTCACCTCCTTGCTATCTCTTTGTTCTCTCACAAATTTTGGTCGACCCCCCCTTGAAAATAGTGGTTTTCAACCCTAAATATCCCTCAAAACCATCATCCCATGTTATTTGAAACATATGCCTACACCAACAATCATTTGAGAAATATGCTTGCTTGAATGACCATCGGTAAAAATATGTCCTTGTTGAAAAAACATGCTCACTTTGAATTGTCATTTCACAAGTATGCTAAGTCGGAAGATCATTTGAAAGACTATGTTCCACAACCGAGTTATTTCATTCTATTTCACTCCTATTTAACCATAGACATAATAGGGGACTTAGGTAGCTTATAAAATGCATAAAATTAACATAAAAGAAGGTATTTTGACTATAAATATGAGTTAAAGAATGTGTTTATCACGATATCATCCTATAACTGCATGATTAAGAACATAACTTCTTCCAGTGAATCACCATAGAAATGTTGACATTATAGTGGATTGGCAAACTGACCATTATCGTTGAGCTACTAATTACTAAAGCATGTACCATCATTAAGTTTCAAACCTAGCCACTGTGCTGATGTCTAACTGACAACATGTTTGTTGTACCTATCCTTTAGAGACAAGCCTTGCTTTATATTTTTGTGCCTTGTTTTCTGCTCCATATTTCGTTTTAAACACCCAATTTAAGCCTAAGGCATTCTTACCGCAAATCTTCCCGTTGTCATGTTTCATTCTTGGTTTTTGAATCCATCACTTCAACTATAGCTCTTTGCCATTCTTCTTTAATTGCATTCTTATAAGTTATGGGGTCGACAACAAAGAAAGAAAACTCACACAATGCATATATATATATATATATATATATATCATATAAGGACCTGGATTTTTTTGGAGGGGGGTTGCTGATTGATTCTTCTTGAGTTAGTTATCTTCCTAAAGCTAAACTACAGGGAGTATCTTCAGTAGCAGTAGGTGTAGTAGGATTTGTTGTTGGAGCTGTTGCGAGTTGAATATTGGATGTCTCATCTTTCCTCAAAGAAAATATTCAAGGGTGCTATATTGATTTGTTCTATTCACCCTGGTGTATCCCAATTGCAGTTCTCATTTTGTAACATCCCATAAATGGGACTACAATATTTTCCACAACAAACTGGAAATATGGTATATAAATATCAAAATACGAGCCTCCCTTAAAAAGAAACTTAAATACGCAAGTTAATTACAGTTTGTAACAATTAGGTATGAGGATAACAATTTCCTAATCTAATTCCTTAAAAGAAAGAAAATTAGAATTTGGTGTCACTTAAACCACCAAAAATGACTTCAATAGATGGTATCTCAAAATGCTCCCCAATCTCTCTCTATAAGGATCGGTTAGACCTTCTTGGCAACCACACCACTAGAACCTAAGATACATGCCGACACAAAACAAGTGTTGGCCAAAAAGTCCAGTCAATATGAACATGAAGTAAACAACCACAATGTAATTAGTTAAAACCATTTATAAGCCAAGTACGACATTCATTTGGAATTAACGGGGGAGACCCATATCCATTGAGAGTGACAGGAATACAAAAGTGTGTCACTCAAACAACGTTGTCTTATAACACTTCAAGACTTATAGTACAAGTGTCCTAATGATCTCTTAAC